CAGGTGGTTGAGTATCAGATTGTTCCATCTCATTTCCCTTTGGAGTTGCTGTAGGTGATCTGGAAGTCTGTTTTTGAGGCTTGTTTCCGTGTCTTCTCATTTCCCTGGGGGCGGGGGGGTGTGCTTCTGGCGCCCGCGCAGCTCACCTTCTCTGCCCTAGGAGTGTGGAATGTTGGCGGGGGAGCCTCCTTCTGGGTGCTGGGACTGGCTCACCTTATCTGCCCTAGGAATGTGGAATCCATCTGTTATTTCTTTTGGCAAACACAATTTGAAAATTTTCATTTGACATTGATTATAAATTACAAATTTAATCTGTTTTACTATCTTATTTATAAGAACTCAGCTGCTTATGTGTAATTGATTGACTTCATAAAATAATTAGGTGAGGACATGTTAAATTAGAAGTTACTGAGAGTGTTAACTTTGAAGAAAGTTGTTATTGTAAGAACACTGTAGGTTTTGTTCATTTCACTATTTTGTTTGCAGCTTTGTAAAATCCAAGCATTTCTGCTGAGAGGACCTTTCCATCTTTGCTTTCTGTAGTTTATATTACAAAGTATAGATTTTTTTTTTTATTTTCTAATTTTGTGTTTTTATTATAGTGGATGGTGCTTTCCAGACCCGACTGTCCTCGTTGCAGATGCTGGTGTGAGCCCCAGGGGGCGCTCTCTAACCTCACTGCTGAGGACAGATTTGAAAAGCATCGCACCAGTATTGATGTGGGGACACAGACTGGAAAAGTCTTGCTGTTTTACTTTGTGAATCTGCTTAGTGGCAAAACTGTTGTATTCTTAATGCTTTGCTAAAATGGACTTCTTTATGCAACATTGGAAAATTGATACTTTGGTGCTTTAATAATTCAAAAGTTTCACTTCTGGGCCTTATTTGGTATCTGGGATGTACTTCAGGATGATTTTTAGCAATTTTGCTTGTGTTAAGGAAGCTGTTTTAATATTTCTGATATACTGAAGTGTGTAGATTGTTTAGAATTTGAGTCACTGCTTACTTCCTAAAGTTAGACTTTATTAGCCTGAGATTTATGGAATGACCTTCAAACTTCAGTTTTGATAATCCAGGTTACCTTGTTCCTTCTTTCCTGACCCTGAGATTATCGTATTCTGTCCTTGGGTTTCTGTTTCGGCAGGATGTTGGGAAGCCTGGCATCAATAATTCCCGAGAGGAAAAACGCTCATCACAGCATTCGCCAGAGTCTGGACTCGCATGATAACGTGGAAGTTGAAGCTGCTGTCTTCGCTGCTGCAAACTTCTCTGCACAGTCAAAGTGAGCTCGGCCTCCTGTAGCTGGGCTTCCCAAGAAGAGCTTTTAAGGCATCACTGATTAGTATCTCAACACTGAAGGTTCCAGGGGAAAAATGGCCAGGTGTATTTTCCAGGAGGGTTTACAGCATGCTGGGGAAAGAAGGCTGAAATGCATAAAATAGAAACCTTAAGTACAAATGTAGTTTCCAGAAAGACTAGGTCAGCATGGGATAGTCCAGGAAGGCTTTGGTGGTAGTGGAAGCGCTGTCCACTGAGGAGCTTCTCGCACACTCATCATAGCGCCGAAGTACCGCTTTCTCCTGTCCCTGCGTGTGCAGCTGTTGGGCATCTAGGCCATAGGTAGTTTGGCAAAGACAGTAATTTGAGTTAAAACCAACTTTAAACTATTCAGAGTGTTATATTGTACCCTGTTATCTTACAGAACAGACTTTTTCTTTTTTTTTTTTTGGATGAAATGTTGACTGTGATTTTATTACCATGTTTGACTTTTTACCCTCTGTGAAAGGTACAGTACTATCCCCTGACTCACGGGTGTCTAAGAGTGTGGCCTTGGTAATATGTGGGGAAAGCTTTAACTTTGACCCAGAAAACCGCCTTGTAGAACTTAGCCCAAGGAATCAGCTTAAGGTGTAGCTACCGATATTCACTTGCAAGCACTGGGTATAATGTAACTTTACAACAAATGTGTGTATTTATGGAATAGGAAAAAGACTGGCAGGATATATATGAAAAATGTTGCCTCTAGGTGGTAAGTTTATACATAATTATTTTCTTGTTATAGATCTCTCTACTTCCTACCATGAACTCATTTTAGGTTTTTTTTGTTGTTTTTGTTGTTGTTGGTTTTTTGGTACCGGGGATTGAACTTGGGACCTTGAGATTGCAAGGCAGGCGGCGGAACCACTGAGCTAAATCCCCGGCTCAAACTAGTTTTAGTTTTATAATCAGGTAAATAATAAATAACAATTCCATTAAGATTCTCAGCTGTAGTTGATAAAACTTGAAATAGTCATCACCTGTCTTTGATTTTAATTATACACATATTCTTCTCATCAGATCCTTTCTCAAACCTTCCGAATTCCTAGGATTACTCATTGGAAAAGAATAGTAAAAAGTATCATAAAGTTCTTATTTTTGTTCCTCAAAGCTAAGAATTTTAGTAATTGAGAAATATCTGAGTAAATACAATCCCCATTTATGCTTTTGAAAATAGGCATACTTTTTCCTTATTAAAAGCCATTGGTATTGAGAGAATTTTTCCAAACTACTTCCATTGATGAACTATCCCTGAGAAGAGTCACCATCTCATGGGCACTGCTGAGGTGTCAGTGCTTTAGGGTCTCTCAGAGTAAATGATCAAGCATGTCCATCCAGTGATTCCAAAGGTACTTTTCTAAATTGAACTCACTGTTTGGTTGGTTTTTGTTTTTGTTTTTGTTTGTTTGCTTGTTTTGCGATAGGGTCTTGGTTGGCCTTGAACTCACTGTGTGGCCCAGGCTGGCCTTGAACTCATAGCGATCCTCCTGCCTCAGCCTCCCAAGTGCTGGGATTACAGGCATGGACCACCATTCCCAGCCAAATTTACTTTATTCTAAATTTATACTTTAATGTTTAAATTTTATATAAGAAAATTCTTTATAGTCCGGTCTTTTTCATGTTATCAGAAGCAATTTTTATTTTTCTTTCAGGTTTTTATTTTTTATTTTAATACATGTTTGCATTACATAATGATTACTTTCATCTTGGCAGAGCTAATTTTATTTCCATTATGAGATTTCTGGTCTATCTTGGAAAATGAGACTAACATAGAAATAACATTGTTCGCTTATGGAATTGATAACCCAGTAAACACATAAATAAATTAATAGTTTATGTAAATCCAGTCTTACTTGGATTTAAGATATGAAAAATAAAAAGTAGTCTACTAGGAAAGCAAGCCCAAAGTACTTAGCTAAACACACCAATGCATAAAATTAATTAAACATTTATTTTTGAGATCAGCGTTTACCCCTTCCTCTAGAAATAATGACCTGGCTTGAGAGCACATGTCTCAGCCAACACAATTTTTTGTCTTGGCATTTCTGTCAGTTTTGAATATTAAACAGATCAGAGTAGCTGGCCAAATAAAACCTTAAGAATCTGTTTAGTCCCATTCTTCCTGTCCGTCCTACCAGAACTGCATCTGACTTGTTATTTTAAGGTTAGATTTCTTACTTTAGTGAGCAAGTCCCTGTGTCACAGAGCAGGAGCTGGGGGCTCAGATACCTCAGGGACCAGGAGAGCATTGGCAGTGAGAGGGTGACCTTGAGTGGCAGCTGTGGTCAGCTGAAGGGCACTGGCTCCCTGTCAGAGGGACACTGGTCCCCTGGCACCAGCTATTTGTTAAGAGAGCAGGACCATCTGCTGCTGTGGTCAGGCCTGACGGGAGGGTGCAGTTTGTGACAGGAATGAGAGCAGATAATTTTGTTCAGTCTCAGCATGTTTACATGTTGGCATTAAGAATTTTAAAATTATTATTAGATTTTAAAACTTACAGGCTTCTTGTTTGCTGTTATTGACCCTAAGGCCTTGTAACAGGTTTTTAAATTTTGAGTTGGTATAAAAAGTTTTTATGCAATTAGTGGAGAAATATTTATTGAGTAGCCAACATGTCTACTTATTATTCTAAGCACCAGGAAGACAGGTGAAGATGATTAGGTCCTGTTATTATGTAGACACAAAATAATTTCAGATTTAGGCCTGAGTGAGCTGTGTTAGCTCGGGTTGTCTCTGAGGAAGCGACAGTGAGCTGGAGTGAAGAGAAGGCGCCTCTGAGAAACTCAGGGTTCACCCAGAGTGAGGAGCAGGAGCAGGAGCTCTCTGAGCTGGGACCTTGTCGTCTACATGAACTAGCAGTGGTGGCGAACCTATGGCACATGTGCTGCCACAGGCTGGCTGTTTATATCGTTGAAAACTCTGAAAGTTTCGCCATCACTGGTAGTCAGTGTGGACTGCTCCCCTTACACCTCAAAAATACTTCATACCTTTTATATGTGTCTGTGAGACTGATCTCTTAGAAAAGTGGTTTTCAAACTTACCAGAGTTCCTTTACACTCTTAAAATATTACTGAGGTTCTCAAAGAGCTTTTATTCATGTGGACTATGTCTATGGACATTTACTATAAGAAATTTAATGTTAAAAACATTTATTCATTTTAAAAATAACATACCCATAATATTTTAACATAAAAATCTATGAAAATAATTATTTTCCAAAAGAAAAATCAATTTTGTGAGAAGAGTGGTGTTGAATATTTTTACAAATCTCTAATGTCTGGCCTGATCTCACATCTACACCTGCATTCAGCAAAGCTGCTATAATATGTTGTTTTGATTAAAGTATGGGAAGAAAATCTCATCTAACACAGATACATAGTTAGATAGGGAGGAGTACGGTGTTTTAAAGCCTTTATGCGTAAATGTGTGATTTAGTAACTTATGCTTTGATCTTTGGGAAAATACTGGTTCTCTGTGTGATGCAGGTCTGCCAGATGTTCACTCATTTTATTGTGTCATACCAGAGAACCACACTTGTTACTGTTACCACCATTTTTATCAGGAAAGGCTTTTAAATATTGTTTTCAAGCTCGTGGTGGCAAATAGAAGTTTTGTGAAATTCCATAATTTTTCAAAAATTAAGCTCAATTATAATTGACAACAAATTCAATTATTTGCCTTCAAGTGCCAAGCTCGCTCTTTTCACCCCTCCAGAGCGTGTCTACCAGATAGGCAACTGCGCAGCTACGATGTTGCATGCAGGATTACTGGTTCATGCCGTCATCCTGTGAAGTGTGCCACTGCATGCTTTACGAGTTCATTCCAGTTCGTCCGAGAATAGGAAAGACACATGTACCCAAGAGTTGAGACTTAATAAAATTAGTAATTTTCACTGCATTATTAAGAACAGGAAGTACAACTGCCTCTTTTTAAATGTGAGTCTAGAGTACTGAATAATATAAATACCCCACTCCCTTGATTCTTGCCAAGTTGCAGATTTTTAATCATCATTATTTTTTCACAAAGTTGAAATTATCAATAATTATTCCAGGATAAAGTGTGAGACTTTAAAAAAAATTATTCACTATGAAAATTTCAATGCAAATAGTGTTTGCTTTCAAGAATTCATATAAAAGAAGATATTCTGTGGTTAGGTGTTGCTGATACTGAACAATTATGAGCAAAACAAAACATGTAGCCGTATGTGCAGATTTGTCCATTTGTAAGGCAGAAATGAAATTCTGCAGATGGGCTGCTGATCGTCCTTCATATGTGCAGCCAAACTCGGATAGGGGCTGCATTGCTGATCAGTGCTTTTCACTGACTTTCACGGCAAGTCAGCATGGTCACGTGTTGTGTCTCCCAGCCAGCATGTGCTTCTCCAGCCAGTGTGCTAGAATTACTCATCTGTGGTCATTTCTAGTTTGAAAAGCCGTAGTCAGTAATTTTTGCTTTTGAAGACCACATCATAGCTGAGTTAAGTAGCATACACCTGTAATCCAGTTATGCACATCGCAGCAAGATGGCAAGTTCAAGGCCAGTTTGGGCAACTCTGCAAGACCCTGCCTCAGAACAAAAAAGGAGCAAGGCGAGTACTGATTGGTAGAGCACCCCGGGTTCAATTCCTGCTGCCACCAGAGTAAGGGTGCATCACATCCAGAGTTAGAATCCTTAGTCCTGTTTAATTCTACATTAAGTCTTAAGATGAAGCCCCAGCTTAATTGGTGCCATACTATATTTGAAAATATTGTGTTGTATAAAGCACAGTAGGTTACGTTATTGGTATCTATAAAGCCAAGGAACAGCTTTGGTCATATTTTTGGTTTTCTTCTTTATAGTTTTGCAATTTTATTTAGAATAGATTCATCCCTTTTCTGAGTTAGAGAAGTCTCTGATATGTCAGTTTCATCTCTTTTGGTATCTCTAGATTTAGGTAATATAGCTTTGGGCTGAAAAAACAAGTCTTCTGATCACTCAAACCAAAATTCACCTTAAGTATAAGAAAAAGACTGCAGATATACTTTATTTGGCTTTAAAATGAAATGCTGCTAAATTCTGAAGCAAAATTATGTAATTGTGGAAATTTTTCAAATTTCAATTGCAAAGCAAGGCAGAGCGTACTTGATATGTTTCCTAGTGAATAGGAGAAAAACTTCAGGATTTCAAAATAATGATGTATTGGTTGATAATGAGGCTACAGATGTTATAATAGATAAAATCTAAGGCAATAAAGCACAGCAGAGGAATTGAAAGGAAAGTGAATTAATTTCAGAGAATGCTATACCCTAAATCCACTACCTTAGAATTTTCTAAGAACTGGGGATGTAGCTCAGGGGCAGAGTACCTATCTAGCATGCACAAGGCCCTAGGGTTCTAGCCCCGGAGCTGCAAAGAATGAAATAAGAAAACAAAGCATGCATTGCCTTAGTTGTTGAGAAAAGTGAATACATTATGTAGCCTATAGAAAACCCCACTGTTCACTTGTTTGTTTGTTCTGTTTTTTTGGTACCGGGGATGGAACTCAGGACCTTGTGCTCGTGAGGCAGGCGCTGGAGCCACTGAGCTAAATCCCCGGCCCCCCACTGTTCACTTGTGAGACAAACAAATTGAAATAGCAGATGATATCTTAATGGTAGAAAATATATTTAGACTTCCATTGAGCTACAAAAGGGAACTATTTCATGTCTTATATATCACTTATGGCTAAATAAGCCATTTTATCATATTATCTCTATCATTCCTTCCACAGTATATAATATTTTATCTCAAGTATTTATGTCATTAACCTTTTCAAATCAGGTGATATTTCTATACTATGATAAAATCAAAAGTACCTTGGAAAATACAAGTATCTCATATTTAAAACATGGCTAACTTTAGTTTGGCTTTTCATAAGATTCTGTCCATATTTCCTACTGCACTTTTGCTACTTCATACCTACTCTTTTTCTAAAATTCATAATGTTAGAATTGATTTTATTGCTTATGTAATCATAGCTTACATGTTAAAAACTTTTCTTAAAGTATATCTTAAAACATATTTGGTAATGGTGACCTTGATTCTTTCAGACGATGTCACTGAGTGATAACTCCAAAGCATTCTCAAATCAGGGCTCCTAAGCACCTGACCTTTGGAATATTAGTTATAATCTGGGGTATTGCATTTCTCCTATGCCAGTTGTGTTCTGTGTTCTGTGTCAGCTCCTTAGAAAACTTAAGCAAATTTAATTTTTTTGGCTTTTAAAGTTTTTACTGTTCTCTCTTTCCATAGGGATTTTGCTGTAGGAATCTGTAACAAAATCAGTGAAATGATTCAAGGTATGTATGGTTTGTTTGGTAATATGAACTGACTAAGATTAATATTAATAATCATTGCTAACATTTATTAAGTACTTGTGCTAGTCGCTGTGCTATCACTGTGCTAGTCATTGTTCATTTGAGTAATATTTATTAAACATCTCCCATCTGCCAGGATAAAGCTCTTGCTTTCACATAGTCGGGGTGGAGTACACAGATACGATATGACACTTCAGGTGCTATGGAGAAAATGTGAGATAAAAAGGAGAGAAAATCCCAGGAATAGAGGGCAGGTGGGAGGTGCACTTGTCTGTCTTACATGTGTCACTTCCTTCTGATGAAAAGAGACAAGAAGGAGAGGAGTGGGCCATGCCAGACTGGAGGAACACTGTGACTGGGGAGGTTGGTGTCATTAGGAGCTCGGGACTTTCTGCTGTTGTCCCTCCAGTGCCTTCCATTGTTTCTAGAATCAAATCCAAATTCCTTCCATAGTCTACAAAGCCCTGCTTTCCCAATTCTACCTACTAAGCAATGCTTTATGTGTATTAATCCTGTTTATCTTTATAACATTTGTTAAAGGCAACTCTGGGGCTACAGCATTGCACACTTCTAGAGAACACCACTTTCTTTGTGTTGTTATAAATGGCATTCCTGTGAATTGTGCAGCTTGGCATCCCTGGTAGGAAATGCTGTTAGATCCATTTTACCACAGAGGAAGTAGAGCCACAGTGAAGCTCAGCCATTAGTCCCATCACCCAGCTAATCAGTAGCAGTTTGGCTTTGAAGCCCACATGTTTAATCACTGTGTTATCGTCCTTTTCTAAGACATGAATTTTTTTTTTTTGGTACTGGCGATCGAGCTCTGGACCTTGCACTTTCGAGGCAGGTGGCAGAACCACTGAGCTAAATCCCTAGCCCTAAGACATGAATTTCTGTAGAGTAGTTATATTCTGCATGCATTTAAATTCTTTCAACCTAGAAGTAAAGACAATTTGCTCGCTTTGCATAAATTTAAAAAATCACTTAAAGATTCACATAATGTGATTGAGCTTTATCTTGTTCTCCCTTATTCATTTGTCATTTTTTTCTTCTACTGCAAGAAGGCATTCCTGCAGATTGTCTTGATTATAGGAAAAAGCATCACTCATTCATTGAGCAGGCTTTTATGAAATACCTACTGTATTAGACAAGACCACATCAGGAGGCAGGTGACATACTTGAATTAGGATAAGTCCGGGAGATGTTAAGAAAGGAACCATTTATGAAGGTGTGGGCAGGTTAATGTGGGGGCTAGAGTGCTTGGTGTATCTGAGTGGTGATTATATGGGCTTACACAGATGTAGAAATTCATTAATCTGTACTTAAACTCATTGCTTTATTATTATTTGAGTTTTATTTTAAAATAAGTAAGCCTGAGATGTTATTTAGTGATAGTGTCTGCCTGGCATGCATGAGGTCCCGGGTTCAGTCTACAGCATTGGAACAACAACAACAAAAACATTTATGTTCAAAATAAATACATAAAAGAACAAGAAATAGGAAGTGAGAGCAGGAAGAAAATGCAGGATGTGGGTGGGGTGAAGGAAGATGGAAACCTAAGATATGGAAATATAAGAGCAGTTTTTGGAAGAGTGTATCTGATGTTTAATTTTAAACTACTTTTCTGAATCACTGTAAAGCTTTATTAAGATGTCTGAAAACAGTGACAAAGAATCCCTCTGCTGGATTGACAGTGGACTTATGGAGAAAAGAGGGATATGAGACAGAAGGCTGCCATAGAAAAGGGCCTAAGTAGGGAGAATACGTGGGGACTGAATAATTCAGTCAAGAGATGGTGAGGATGGATCAATATGATGACAAGTGGGAAGACAGATTTGCAATGTATTTTAGAACCAACAAAATTTACTTATAATTTTGGAACTTGGATGTGGAAGAAGGAGGGAGGAAATGAAAAAAGACTCCAAAGTTGGAGGGCTGTGCTCATGGAGTTCTCATTTACTGAGGTCGGGTCATTTTTGGAGGAGCAGTTTGGGGGTAAAGATCAGAAGTTCCCTTTCGACTCTGTTAGGTATAAAGCGCTTCTGGTACATCCTGCTGGAGGTGTGCAGCAGGCCGTGGAATGTGTGCATCTGAAGTTCGGGGTGTGGAGGAGGTGGGCAGCAGTCCATAGCACTTAGTTGATCACCGAGAAAGTAAAAAGAGTGAGATGGAGAATTTATTACCAATTCAAAGGAACACCAGAAATTAAACTATAGACAGGAGAGGAGATCCTGAAGGAGATTAAGAAGGAATGGCTAGAGGGAGAGAGCAGAAACCAGGAAAAGAGTGCAAAAGCAGAAGCCACTGGGAGTTTCAAGGACCTAATAGTCATCAGTGTCAAATGCATTCAGCACCCTACGAATGAAAATAGTAACAACATGACCATCGTGTGACCCCGCAGAGAAGACACCAGACGGTAAAACTGGCCTCAGTCTTCTTCCCTCCTCTTGCTGAGGTTCTCTGCTTTGGCCAAACCCAAAGAGAGGCCAAATAGCAAGGTAGCTTGTGGATAGGAGTCTGCATTGCACATTGAAATGCTGTCTTCCATTCATACCAGCAGCTACACTACGAATTCAGTGATCTGCAGAGTATAAATTGGCTTTTGGCATGTTTATAGTATGTTATGATTGAGAAATTTTTGTTCTCTATTACCACAAAGTCATGCCATAAAAGAAAAAGATTTTTTTTTTTTTTAACTCCAGTGTTGACAAGAAAAGATGCGTTAGGGTTAATCCTCATGGAGTTCCAGCTGTAAAGGGAGATAAAGCTCAGAGAGCATCAGTGCCATTCTAGACAGTCTGTTTCTACCTTGATCTTGATTAAGCTATTGAAGAAAATAATTGTTCGTATAATCAGACTGTACCCATTGAGTGTGTGTGTGTGTGTGTGTGTGTGTGTGTACAGAGTCTGCCAAAAAAATGTATCCACGCTTCAGCGGTTTGCCATACTAAGGAATGTCTGGAAGCTAATGGCCACCACTTTGAACACCTCTTGTAGAGGCCAAAGGTAACTTGTTTTAATCTCATGATGTCTCAGTAAATTTAGTATTAAAATATTTATACACACTTTCTTTTCCTGATGTATACGTTTTTGGCGGACTTTGTATATATATTGCACATGCATACTTCCGTGTGATTTTTTTAAATATAAGAAGAAATAGGAAGCAAATGTAACTGCTTTCCACTGTGTCATTCTATGGGATTTTCTGCCAACAACATGTAGTTTTATACTAATGTAAATACTTTGGAAAGCTCGGTTGAACTTACTGATTAGTTCTAGTATAATCGTTAATGTTATGAACATGAGAACGTGTTAGTATACGACTTGTTTTTAAGGGGATGTTTGCTGATTGAATCAGATCCTTTAATCTGAACTGTAACTGAGAATGATGACCAGAAACCTCTGAGAAGTCTTCCTGTGCTTAGGCTTAGCTACCCCAGTGGACTTGAAGCTGAAGCTGATCCCCATCCTGCAGCACATGCACCATGACGCCATCCTGGCTTCCAGTGCACGTCAGCTCCTGCAGCAGCTCGTCACCTCCTACCCTTCCACCAAGATGGTGATCGTTTCTTTGCACACTTTCACTCTGCTCGCAGCCTCATCTTTGGTTGATACACCCAAGCAGGTAACTTGAGTTTTCTTCGGTGACTTTGAGTATTAACTATATGATAAAAAATAAGAAATTAATCCATACATTTTGGTAACATTAAGATCCTTTTCTCCAGTAAAGACCAATCACTTGAATTTCCTTTTCCTTCTTTATTTTCTTGGGAGCCCTGAAGGAATCTGTAGGAGGATGTGAAGCTTTCAGTAAAGAAGCGATTGAGATTCTGCTAAGGGCAGTTAAGTGGTATTTTACACACAGGGAGAAAGAGGTTCAAACATGGACACATAGCTAATAAGTGACAGGGCTCTGATTTGAAGGGATCCTATCACAAATCTGAAAGTTTACTGACAGCACTGCATCCTTAATGATAATTTCAGTGAGTATTGTTTATGGAGTAACCTAAATGCTTTGTAGATTCAGCTGCTGTTACAGTATTTGAAGGATGATCCCAGGAAAGCAGTGAAGAGACTTGCTATTCAAGATCTGAAATTACTTGCCAGTAAAACACCGCACACTTGGAGTAGGGAGAATATTCAGGTATGTGGGACTTTGACCATTAATATTTTATATAGAAAAATAATATAACATGAATAATAAATCATAGTAAGTTGTTTGGCATCACATTTTCATCTGTCATCTTCTAAATGGTCGAATATGAAATATGTCTAAGAGCATTATTAATGTTGCACCAGAAGTCATTTTATCAGTGGCAAAATAGATAAACTTGTCTTTCAATGTTTGTTTGTTTTAGTGAATGGGCTTGCTTCTCAATTTCTTGTTAATTTTCCTGTAGCTGCACTGAAGCTAATTCAAAGCTCCAGTAAGTTATTTTATTCATCTCCTTTAGTCCATTTAGGGAGAACAACTTAGGTGCCAACTATGATTTTGTATAGAGGAGAGGCTGGGGGAGTAACATGGCAAAGTGTATTTCTCCTTTTCATGGATTGAGATGGGATCTTACTCTGTACCCCAGGTTGGCCTTCCACTCAAAAGTCCTGCCTCAGCCTCCTGAGTGCTGGGGTCACAGACGTTAAAAGACATTCTTGAGTTTTCTTTCATAAACACAAGAGCAGATCTCACTCCAGGCTATTGAGGGGACATCTTTTACAGCTTAAATTCCTGTTTTTAATTTTCTCAAAATATAACCCTATTTGTTTATGCATTACTGGTAACAAACAGATGAACACTATTTTTTACACTTGATCTTCGCCACAAGGCCGAGAAGTGATTGAACATTATTTTCTAAATAATGCTATTTAAAGTGAAAGATTGTTAGAAGTTGACCTTTATTTTCATGGATTTAATTTTTGTCTCTTGGCAGCATTGAGGCTGTAATATATTAAAATCATTGTGTTGGTTCATGCCAATAATACTACCACTTGAGAAACTGAGGCAGGAGGATCACTTGCAGTTTGAGGCCAGGCTGAACTAAATAGCAAGACCCGATCTCAAAAAAAAAAAAACAACAAAGAAAAAAACAGGAAAAGAAACGAAAGACAGACTTTGAATTTCATGTTATGAAAATTAAGCAGCGATGTCTCATTATTTTTGTTTGACATATTCTAAATGTGTTTTACTATATTACAATTTGATAGTAACAAATATCACAAGAGATAAGGGCAGTTAATATTTACATTTAATTGATAAGTAAGCAGTTAGGGTTCAGAGAGATTTAATATGTTTAAGAGAGCTTCTTAAGAAAACTTGATAGCGCTCTTGTTACCTTTATGCCTTGTGTGTGCCATGTTGTTTCTGCTCTGCCATGCCTATTTGTCATCCCTGCCTTGGAGTTGGCTGATTATGGGCTGAAACCTCTCCAAACTGGTAGCACTGCTCCCAGTGCAGAGAAGGTGAGCTGCGCAGGTGCTAGCAGCACCACCTTCCACCCCCCCACCCCCCACTCCTGGTCAAAATGAGAAGACATGTAAACAAGCCTCAAAACCAGACTTCCAGATCACCTACAGCAACCCCAAAGGGAAAGGAGATAGAACACTCTGATACTCAACCACCTGGACTCCTTGAACTGACAACAAAAGAGGATCTGGAAAAAATGAAATCAGAAATAATTTCTCAGATAACAACAGAGATTGTGCCCATAGTGCAAGACATGATTA